ACTCTGGGCTCTCACGTTGCCCCAGTATTTATTCTGAGCACCCAGAAGGTCTATGGAGAAGAGACTGTGAGTAGATATGAATTTCCCTTGTGTTTGAAGATCACACAAGTTCCATACTGCTAACTAAGCCATATTCAGACTTTAGACAATTATTGACAATTTTGGGGTGAATTCTTCTTACTGATTCTCAAGGGGTCTCCTACCTGCTCCAGAAAGCAAGTGCTTGCGTTCTGTCACTCCTTGGAGGCACTTTACTGTCTCTAGGTTTGGGATTAATCTGTCACCCTATGACCTCAGCTCTCCGAGGAGTTTAATAGCATTTCTAAGTTCGCATATTACTTAGGATGTTTATTGCTTTACATTTGGGAATGATGCCCTTTCTAGCTTTGGCCACCTTCAGTGGAAGCTGGAAGTCTGATATACACAATCTTAAAAATTTCTCAAATATCCTGTAGAGCAGCTGGAGATTTTCAGAGGTGAAGCAACTCTTCTGTGTGCAGGAGATTTGAAGCAGTTCTTTCCTAACCATGCACTCCAGTCCGCTCCACACTGCTGTTCTTACTCCTGTGTAGACTGATGGTGTGTTAACTGTTGACTCTCCAAGGCAGAGTTTATATTCCTCTTTTTACCTATTCCTCAATGTAGATTTAGATACTAGTGCAGAAAAATACTGGGTAGGATGAGGGGGAGAATGATGGTGGAGCAGTTTATCACTGTGGGTACCAGGCCTCCTCTCATCTCTCTCTCAGAAGTTTCAAATTCGGATGCCTGTAGGAGCCAGGCAAGAAACATCAATGAGTAAAGTGGGCTGGGTCTATGTGGGCTCTGGTTTTCCTTGACACTCGTGGCCCTGCTTTTGTTAGTGACAGAGGAAAATCGTTCTTTATAAGAGAAACAGCAGTGCAAGCTAAGGATTGGCAGAGTTTTTAAAATTGGGGCATACATTGTGAGGGCTCCTGGACACTCCCTATTGTCTTAGAGCCACCCATGAATATTACCCATCTGCCTTGAGATCACTTCATTCAACATTACCTAAATATTTTTCAAGCACCCACTGCTTCTGAGGCTCTGCTCTTCGTTCCAAGGGTGTAGCAATAACTAAAACGACTCCTTAAAGGAAAGGACATTTTGGTTTGTGGTCTGCAGTAGGGAGGATGGGACCTGTGGGCCTGGAGAGTATTGCTTGAAAAACATGCTGCCGCCACTCACCTCTGGCCAATTGCTGCCAACCGTGAACGCTGACCCTGTGTTGCCAAAGCTTTTAATTTTCCAAGACAAATCAGAAATTGGATTTCTATTTTAAGTGGCAACTTTCTTATTTTTAAACATTGGCTCAACGTTTTAAAAATCACTGTGGAGGTTAAACAAAATGTGTCTGCAGACAGAATCTGGCTTGCGACCTCTGTTAAACACCATCTCTGCCCTTGCTGGTCTGCTTGAGAAGAGAAATGCAATGAAACGACAGCTGTAGCCATGTTAATTCCCTTCTTTGGAAGCAATGAACCGGTCGTCAGAGATTTGGCAATTCCAGGGCTTAATTTGCAATATAAGGCCAACAATTTCAGTGAAAGCCGTTTTAAAATCAGCCTTCAAATCAACAAACAACAAAATGACTATACAAATCAGCAGTGCTTATTAACCTGGACTCAAGAGAGTGTGGCCAACAGGTTACTTGCAAGCAGGGGATATTGCAGTTATTAATCTGCTTGCAAGTTGGAGATTGGCTTTTAGAAAATGATCCCTATTGTAGGCCACTTGCATTTCTATAAACATGCTACACTGTCATCCAAACCTGCAGCCGCAGTGTGAGTTTTGCAATGGTGCCTGTTTGTTTATTTATTAAGTCTAGAGTTCTCGATAAAGCCTAAGGTTATTATTATTATTATTTGGTAAATTTATAGTGTTTATAATTTAGTTTTCTTTTTTTTTTTACGCTAGCTACTTTGGACTTTTTTTGTTTTTTGACAGTGAAGGTCTTTTTTTTTTTTTTTTTTTGAGACAAAGTCTTGCTCTTGCTCTGTCGCCCAGGCTGCAGTGCAGTGGCTCAATCTCGACTCACTGCAACCCCCACCTCCCAGGTTCAAGTGATTCTCCTGCCTCTGCCTCCCGAGTAACTGGGATTACAGGCATGCACCATCATGCCCGGCTAATTTTTGTATTTTTAGTAGAGACGAGGTTTCACCATGTTGGCCAGGCTGGTCTCAAACTCCTGACCTCAGGCAATCCACTCAGCCTCTCAAAGTGCTGGGATTACAGGTGTGAGCCACTGTGCCTGGCCAACAGTGAAGGTCTTATAGATAGTTTAGCAAATGAATCCATTTTCTGATTGGCTTCATATTTTGCCAGTTACTCGAGCCATAGGTTTTTTTGTGTTTTAAAAGGAATGTGGTAGCTGATCATTAATAATCACTAACTTGTTGAAATTATTACATACTGACAGATTCTCCTCATTGTCCTGTGAACTTCTTGTTCTCCTTTTCTTCACCACTCTTTGCTCACGTGTTTCTTCCATTTCCCTTTTCCCGTTTGACTGTTTGTCTGTTCCTCAAAGTTCACTCTGCTGCCTGTGCACATATTTACGCAGTCCCTGCATCCTCCGTGCTGATCCAGCTCCTCTGGCCTCTGGAACCCAGCCTCATACCTCTTCTTTATCCCCACCACTTGCCAGAACTCCTTAGCAGCTGAAAGGCTGTTTTCCACCTTTTAACAATTCTTTCCCACTTTTGAGGTCTTTGAACTAAGCCCTGAGGAGTTGCACGGGAGACACATTTTCATGTGTCAGTATATCCATTACGGCCAACAGCTTGCCAAATCTGTTCATGCTCTAAAGCCAGGTCACATGTTTACTGATTTTCCTTGGCTCAGGATGGGTCATTTGCTTTTCATAACCCATGTTCTGCTGGTTGTCCCCCATTTGTGAGGGTCTGACTACAACCCCCAAATTCTAGCTCATACAAACTCAGTGACTGACATGCTTTATTGAAATAACGCTTAATAGAACCTGTCAGAGATTCCTAAGTGAGGAGGCACCCTGGGCCACTCCCGTTGTTCCTGAGACCGGGCAATAGACAGCTGTATGCCTCCCCGGGTGACAGCAGCTTTTTAAAATGGTACAACACTCACTTCTCTCAGGCTGCCTTCTGGATTCAACTCTACATTTTGTCTGAGATAATGAGGAATTTTGATCTTATTTTACAATTATATTGGGTCTTACTCTACTGAGACTGTATTCTGAATATTTGTGGAGAAAGGCATTTAAAATGCAGCCTTCTAGGAAGGAAGACAAGTGGTCTGCCTTATTTGAAGTTTCTTAAGCATTCTATTTATGTTAATAGAGGTAACCTGGGCTTTTTGGCTTGTACACCTTGGGTTATATGTCTGCAAAATAAATTTATGATGACAATTAACATGAGCAATGTTACAACTTACAAACATTTTCAAAGACAGGTATTAACTATTAGATTAAGGCCAAATTCAAGGGAAAAAAATTCTGCTCCACATATATTCCTAGAAATAGATTCTTTAGAATTACTCTTCAGTCACTGTGCTGTGGAAAACACAAGCAAGTCAAACTTCAATTTCTGCCAATTGTTTAAATTTTTTAAATCTTGACACTGGTTTTTTCTTTTAAATACTTTCACATGTGTTTCACTTATTTTAGGAAGTAATTCAATATAATCTTTAAAACTCTTAGGTTACTTTTAATAAAAAAGTAGGAGTTTTTAAATTAGCACTAGAAGGACTAAAATCTTGCATTTTTCAACATCGATACTGTTCAAAATCTCATATACACTTTGTGAAGTAATTTTTGAAAACAATAATAGACAGCTCTGAATAAAAATAGTGTCACGTGTATCATTCATACACAATGGGCTTTATTTTACTGCCAAGTACTGATAACCATTTCAAAAGGGCAAACTTCGAGTTTAAAGTTTAAAAGACTCTTTTTTTTTTTTTTTTTGAGACAGGGTCTGGCTCTGTTACCCAGGCTAGAGTGCAGTGGCACGATGTCACCTCACTGCAACCTCTGCCTCACAGGTTCAAGTCAGCCTCCCATCCCAGCCTCCCATCTCAGCCTCCCAAGTAGCTGGGACTCCAGGCGTGTGCCACCATGCCTGGCTATTTTTTGTATTTTTTGTAGAGATAGGTGTCTGACTATATTGCCCAGGCTGGTCTCAAACTCCTGAGCTCAAGCAATCCACCCACCTTGGCCTCCCAAAGTGCTAGGATTACAAGTGTGAGCCACCATATATGGCCTAAAAGATTATTCTGGTGAACGTTTACCATAATTTAATAAATGCTGGGATCATCACTCATTAAAAAAATTCCATTTATTCTAATTATCTGGGCCCAGACTGTGTTCTGGTGTAGCATTCTGTCAATTAAAGTAATATCAAATGTAATAGTTTGTGGATTGACCTTAATAATTTATTGTATGACTTTAAGGAATTTTAAAAATGAGTGTTAAAACCACATTTCCTTTTATTGTAATTTTTATATTTTATATCTTTGCTGGATGATGTTCTCAGGGTTTAATCTGCTTAGCCCCTCAGTACACATATTTATCATTGACTTTATCAGATAGTTTCTACTTAAGACTGTTGCAAACCTGGATCACAACTTTTAAATGATAAACAGCACAGACACCTAAGGTATGCAGCAGCAAGCTGTCATTGTAACTTCAATGCAATCTGAATTTGTCACTTTTGGGGAATAAAATAGGACATTTAAGCCATCTCAATCAAATCTGAAGTTTTCCTAGAGATTGCCTTTGTAAAACATTTTGAAAATGTTGACTGACCCTCAGTTTATTAGGAGTCTGGCTTAAGAAACGAGCAACAACAATAAAAGTGAGACACTAGCTTATATCCTGTTGACTTTGTACTTAGATTTTTCGGAACCATTAAGTAGCACTGTAGCTCTCCAGTCTCACATTGTTTAACATAGTTCATGGTTGGGTCTATTTACCTTGGTTTTTAAATATTATTTTTCTTTTTTAGGGAAACTGGATTGAAATCTGCACGTTGCCAAGGGCAAGAAGCTGAGAACATGGAGAGAGAGGTAAGATCGATGTCACAGTAGGCCCCTCCTTGATTTTCTTCCTTTAAAAGCAAGGCTTTCAATCTTGACTTTTCGTTATCCGTGGATGGAAAGTATAGAAGTGAGTAGAAATGTAACCTCCTTTGTAGCACTCACCAGTAAAGAGGCTGATTAACGAGTGTAGCAGGCAATGTCGTAGCAAAAGAGAGTCTACGGAAGAGAAACAAAAGTGCCTCAGAATTCGCAAGGATTCTCATGATCCATAGTAGGACCTCATGGTGCCTGTCTGCTCTTTCTATTTTTGATTAGATTTATAAACACAGCAGCACATATTTTCATGTGGCTTATCGCCTAGGGGCAGAATCAGATTGGCTGCACTGAAACTGTGAGGCTTGTGAATTTTGGGCAAGGGCTAGAGTGAAATAAGTAGTGTAATTGTTTTTGTGGAGTGACCGTGGGACCTCCTCTGTTCTGAATTACACATGGCTCAACCCTTTGACCTGACCAGACTCTGCAAAGGCTGGCAGGACTCCTAACGCTGTGCTGAAAGGGTCGTCGCTGAACAAGCTGGAACGTTATCTGTCAGGCCAGATGTGGGCCAACAACTAGATTCAAATATATTAATTACTAGTGGGACACATTTGCGACCACTTCGACTTCACTTAACCCGTCATCATATAAGTTATTATTTCAACAGGACGTGCCAATGCGGGGAATGTTTAGAATCCAAATGTAGCACAGATCCTTTGATAAATAGATTATTAGGCTATTTTTTTTTTTTTTTTAGTTTACTAAATTTTGGATCATCTATGAGAATATTTTGCCTAATAATTCAAACGTTATTATTTTGAGTCTTTTAATATCCCCAGGTTTGGGGGGAATGTCATAAGCCATGATTAAAACTCTTTCATCTCAACGAGTTTAATTCTTTCAAAATAGATGGTAATCCACTGATATAATTCCTTGAAAGAATCAAAGCTGGGGGAATGCAGAGAACTGGGAAAAGATTTGGGAGAATCATAGGTGCTGACATTTGTGCAATTGTGGAGAATTCATTCTGTGATTCACATGCTGATGAGTTGGATAAAGATGTTTATATCTATCTAGGTATGATTTTGAAGTGACGCCCTTGAATTTTTGTTTCGGATTCAGTAGCTTAAATTTTCAAAGGCAATCTAAGCAGAAATCTCAAGTTTATTTTTAGGCCCTTGACATTATTACCAAAACCAGTTCTAATTCTGGAATATGCCTCCAATTTTTTTTAATTTAGTGTCTTTCCTTGCCAATGCTACAAAGTAAAGGTCTCTGTAGGTATTTTATGTTTATACCCACATGCAAATAATTTAGCATTTAAATTTTTGCTTTCTTATCTGAGGCAACTCAGGCTGAATATTAATTCACTTCTTAGTTATATGACACTTAAAATTTTCTTTAAAGAGTACACAACTTTATGTGTGTGTGTGTGTGTGTGTGTGTGTGTGTTTTGAATTGTATTTTTCTCTTACTCCAGGGACTCTAAACATGAAAATGGGGAGGTCCTCATCAAATCAGTTACAAAAAAAAAAAAACCACTCAAATATCCTATAAGCCCCCCAACAAAACTGCATTCAGCCCTACCTGGTCTTACTCTCATTAGCAGTGAAGGGTTTGCTCTCCACACAATCTAACATGGAATGCTTAGAGCAGACAGGTGCAAATTGCAAGCTGTTTCACTTTGGCTGTTATCCCTTGAATCGACAAAGTAATAGACTGGGAGAACAAAAAAGGTTCCAGCTCAAGCTGCATAAATGAAAGTCTTAACAGGGACACACCAGCTGGCTAGGAGAGTTCAATGTAGTGAATACTAAACATTACCTTTGTGCCACTTGCCAAGGAAAAGGGCTTCAGTGACACCCCCTCCCTTTGATGATTGAGATGATGTGCCTTCAAAATCGTATTTTGCTTTATTGTAAAGGCGATACTGTGGCCGAAGTGCATGAGAACGGGATCCAACATACCTGTTCCTGTAATGTTGCCATCATTACACTCCTCCGAGCGATTCAGGCATGATTAGGTTCCTGGAGTGGGACCAGATTGACAGTATTTCTATCCATGTCTTTTTTGGCTGATCCAAGCAAAGCCCCAGAGCAGTGAAACAAGAAAACACAATCACTAGCACCCCCGCCTCCCCAGCAAGATGAATCTGCTGAGCTAGGCTGCTGAAAAAAACAGTCGTTCATATTAGGAACACCTAATTTCATTTCATGGAAGAGCCATGCCACGCCGCCGGTATGCGTAGGAATCTAAGGTATGCGTATCCAAAAAGAGACCCTAACTCTGTCATCCCAAAGTTGCTTCGCTTTGTGACTTCCCAGTGTGCACAGGAACTGTTGTCTGCAAGAAGCAACTTTCACTTGAGCTCTGAGGCCACCGACTTGGTCTGACCCGGCAGATAAGGGTAGGAAGAAAACTGGAGCTGGCCTTGTTTACAGCCGGACAGAAGAAAACAGCCAGACACAAATGAGGGGTGACGGTTTCATGAAGCACAATTGGTTGATCCCAGATGCAATCTGACTGCCCTGAACTGAGCGATGATCCGTACAGTATGCAGAATTCACTTTCTTGCTGGTCTGTGCCCACCAGCCTTGGAGGAATGCTCCCCGCGCCCCTCAGCCATGGCTTTGAGTGCAACCAGAGCTGAACAACTGTACCGCGGGACCCGATTCCTTCTGACAACAATCACATTCTTTTAAAAACTTCATACGTTTTGGTTGTCACTGGTTATAAATGAGTTTGTTGTTGTTCATGTTTGCTACTCTATTGTAGATTTCCTTTCAAGTTAAGAGTGTCCGCATCAAAAGGTATTTGTTGCTTTTTAACGAAAAGGAAATTATTATCAGAAACTGTCAGTTCTTAAAAATTTCAGGTTTTCAGGTTTTTTTCTGTTCAAATCACAAAATATTGTTTCTTCCACATTATTGAATATATGTAATAGGGTAACATTACTAAAATTATTGAAAGGAACTGATTTAGCACCACTTAAACACACATATGAATACGTTACTTTTCAGTTATTCAAGATGAGTAAGTTCTAGGGATCCGTGGTCCGGCATCGTGCTGACAGTTAACACTGCAGTGATGAAACTTGCATTAAGAGGGTGGATCTCATGTTATCTGCTCTTATTGCAATAAAAAATGCTTTAGAAGTGTTTCCCTTTAGACAGTAACTTTGCGTTATAGCCGCTAAACAGAAGCACAAAGGCGGAAGCCACAAAGCCTATCCATAGTAGATTTATTAATAGTTAAGATTTCTAGAGATTTTGCTGATCTCCAAAACTGAATAGATATCATTGAGAAGCAGGAAGATGCTGGTGATGAAATTTTATTTTTTTAATTTAATTTTTGACATACGTTATAGGAATTTAGTAAGTTAATATGAACTTATTAAAATGCTAACATTCGCCTAAATACACTAAGTTAACTACTGGTAATGAATGAATTGATGTAAAATATGAGTGAAGGATGATTTTGCATGAGCTAGAGAGATAAAAATCTCATCAGGAAAGAGAGACTCTCAATTGAGAAGGGGGTGGAGGAAATGCAATTTACACCACTTAAATGTGCCCATGTGTAAAGGAGAGAAAACGGTGAGGAAATTGGCAAAAGAGAGAAGTCGGAAATCACTCCTAATTTCCTCTTGAACATATGTTAGTAGTAAAGAGGTCACAAAATACAAACCACTGCTTGGTGATCCTCTCAAAGAATTCATCTCTGGTGTGTACAGTCAGACGTTGCTTTCCTTTTGAATACGGGAACTTGTGAAAATATGTTTGAGACCTTTATAACATTGAGAGCAAGTCCATAATTTCATTTGAAGTCCTTAGTAAGGAAATGAGGTCTATTAATAGGCCACATCCATCTATTTAAAAGCATGTTTAACTCGGTCTGAAAGGAGTGAAGTGCCAAAATTACTGAACCATGTCAAGAAAACTAGTATCTGCTGTTTCCTCAGCTGAAGGCTGTGAAAAAAACAGACTTCAACCTCTTTCTTAATAAAATGAAGGAAAATTTAGTGCAGTTGTGAACTACTCTTTTAAAAAGTTTACCAAGTTTTTAATGCATGTAGTTTATTTATTTATTTATTTATTTATTTATTTATTTATTGAGACGGAGTCTCGCTCTGTCACCCAGGCTGGAGTGCAGTGGCGCAATCTCGGCTCACTGCAAGCTCCACCTCTTGGGTTCACACCATTCTTCTGCCTCAGCCTGTAGCTGGGACTACAGGCGCCCGCCACCACA